TATATATTGATGGAAATTAATATCGATGCATATGCAGAAACTGGCAGACTATGTGGGACTACCTTGCCGGATAGCTCGAGGCTGCAAGTATTGTGTTGAAGATCATAGATCCTCATGCCTTGTCAAAATTCAAGACGATAAATCCACAAGGTCGAACTAATTCTTATATCTAATTTCATTGTTTATTTTTTTTATTAATGTGTCTTTTGTTTAATTATTATATAGGGAGTATGTAATGGATCTAATTGGGCAACCAGGAAACGTGTATAATCCGGATTCATCAATCAATGGAGATATACTTTCTTCGGTGCCTTCACCATTTCAAAGCTCTCATTTGAAAGAAGTTGAACAAGTTTATGTGGACCGAGCATCCATTTCTCAAGTCAAGAGTACGTAATTATTGTTAATTAATATACATAAAATCGTCCCCCTAAATAATGTATGATGAATTAATGTGGTAAATGCATGCAGGCATTGAAGGAGGAGGTGGAGTATGTGAGGAAGAAAGTGTAGTAGAATCAAAGGAAATGAGATGCGTCCCAGTCCCAATTGATAGAAACTATAGAGTTTGTGAGATGATTGAAACGCCAAAAGCAGTGAAATACAGTACTAGTAGTGATCAAATATCAGCTAAAATTGATCAAGGCAAGAGTACAATTAGTGATGTGGGGAAATTTAGAAGCAATAGTTTTCCTGTGACTGCTCCAAGGTACTTGACCCTTGAGCCATCTCTTGCAATGGACTGGCTGGAGATAGCTTGGGATGACTTGCATATCAAGGAGCGTATTGGTGCTGGTAATCATTAACCATTACTTTACTTAATTACTACTCCCCTCCAAATCAATTATATATAAATAACTACTTAATTAATTAATAATATAACATTAACAGACATGATGTTGGTTGTTTCAGGCTCTTTTGGGACAGTGCATCGAGCAGAGTGGCATGGATCGGTTGGTCTTTTTCTATAACCAAAACACAATGCATGATTGATTATTATTTTTCAGAATCTAATTAATTAAACTCTTTTGTTTTTTATTCTACGTATGTAGGATGTGGCAGTTAAGGTATTAACTGTCCAGGACTTCCAAGATGATCAGTTGAAGGAGTTTCTGAGGGAGGTATATATAACAAACATTATTTGTATATTTATGTTGTTTTTATATAATAATAAAATAAAATTGTATTCTAAATTTGGTGTTGAATATTGGTTTGTTGTAAGGTTTCAATTATGAAACGAGTGCGGCATCCGAATGTGGTTCTGTTCATGGGTGCAGTGACTGTTCGCCCACATTTTTCAATTGTGACAGAGTACTTACCTAGGTAGCCTAACTCCCTTTTCATTTTATATATATATATATATATATATAACTCAATCAATATCATGCATGGAAAGTTGCTTTTTGTTACTGATATATATAATATATAATTGATGATGAAACATTAATTACAGGGGTAGTCTATTTCGTCTTATACATCGACCAACAGCTGGTGAAATTATGGATCAAAGGCGACGTATACGCATGGCTTTGGATGTGGTTGGTTACTTAATTTTTATTATTATATATATATATATATATATATATATATATATATATATATATATATATATATATATATATGAATCTTGAATTTCAACAATAATTAAAATAATTATCTCGATCGGCTATTTGTTGTTGCAGGCAAAGGGCATCAATTATCTTCATTGTCTTAATCCTCCCATCGTTCACTGGGATCTCAAATCTCCAAACTTATTGGTCGATAAAAACTGGACTGTCAAGGTACTTACATTAATCCAACACGTACTTAATTTGTAACTAACCGTTTTCTGTGACTGTATTTGACCCATATTATAAAATTGTATTTGTAGGTTTGTGATTTTGGGTTATCCAGATTTAAAGCAAATACTTTCATATCATCAAAATCTGTTGCAGGAACAGTAAGCTTCTGTAATTACAGTACTTGTTAGTCGTTTCTTGTCTGAAAT